ATATATATATATATACATTGCTCAGATAGCAACATAAGATGTTAAAATCGCATAGCTTATTATGATACAGTAAGTGAGCTTTTTATGGGTATTTTGTTTGAATGGCTTCCGTAGAAATACATCAGTCTTCTTGAAGATATAGTCATCTATAACACTGTAACACTGTATACGTATTGATTGAGTCCATATCTTTGTATCTGAAATATTTCTTCTCCAACAGAAATGTCTTATGCTCTCTAGAATCTTGAATTATAGATAATTACAGCAGGTGCATACTGTAGTCAATTACACAAGTCACGAATTCTGATTAGTACAGAATAGTTAACGATGAAGTTTGTATCCACATCCTTAATATTTTGACTACTTTGACGTGTTCGCCGAACAAATTTCCTAGTATAAATCTCCGTGATAATTTTGCTGCATTGATTTTCATATCACAGACCTGTGTGTGTTTTGAACTTTCCTACTATGGATGACGATACATATTCATCTGTCGAATATTATTATTATTATTATTATTACTGTAGGGCAAACCATCATTATACTAATTTGAGTCAAGACCAAAATGTTTGTGACGCGTGTACAAATTTTGAATAAATATATTGTGCACCAGTATTACTACTAAGGGCATTTGAGATTTTATTTATGCCAATTAAAATATCGTAAACAAATTTCTACACAAACACGAATCTACAAAATATTTGACTAGGACTTGACGCGCTCCAAAAGTAACACATGCGAGATTCAATATTCAAATTACGTTGATACAATACAGTGAAAGGAGCAGAGTGATATATTCTGTATAGTTAAGTGGAGTATACCACTTCAGCGAGCCGAGTGTGGCGCATATTTACTAAATATAACTGAATATACATTATCTTATAAAGTCACCATGTTAAACCCCCCCCCCAAGATATGTCAATAGGTAACGAATAAGGAATTTCTACATCTGCCACAACATTCGAGCATGTTATAGGCTATTCTTTATCAGTTTCTCACCTGCTTCCCTTAATCTTATAAACAATTTATTGGCTCACAATTGGTCTTTATTTAAAAGGTAATTTGTCTTTCATTTGCAAAGATCTTTTTAAAATTATAGTTAAAAACGTAGCAATACGGTATTAAATATTTTATTATGCGCAAAGGGTAAAAAAATCCATCATAAGGTTGAGGGACTAAAACGCAAACACTGCATGCGCCAACCGCTCCCTCAAAGAAACAAGATAGGCCTACTGTAACGTATGTCATGTATAGGGATGTGCATTCACATTAAAAAAAATCAACACGAATAGGCCTATGTAGGTCTACAATACAGTACTAAGCGCTACATTATAAAATCATGTGTTATATGTACAAAACCAGATAGGCCTTCCATTATGTAATAAGCTGATCAACCGGCATTATCTATCGTTTCTCTGTCAAATAAATTCAAGATTCAAATCGAAAAATACAATTAAAACGATTACGTCAATTGCACACATATGCTAGAAAATAAACATTAAAGATTAAAAGTTGTTAAAAAGAGCTAAATAATTTAAACAATGTTGGCCTATCTCTACCAACGCCTTGACGTCAGAGCGTGCGTTTTTAAAGATTGAGTTTATTAAATATATCATCAGCAAAGCGTAACAGTATTATTTCTCAAATTATTAATATTGAATTTGATATATTTATACGAACAAGGCATTTTAACAATATTAAATCCTTATATTGATTACTAAATCGAACGCTTATGCAGAGATAGGAATGATATTTGGCTCGGTTAATTGACAAAGATATATTGTTTTCCTCATTCGCTACTAAAATACTAATATGTACAATGTAATCTACAAATTGAAAATTTGCGTTTTTTAAATTTTATTTAAATGTAGTTATTACTATCATTCAATAATGCAGTATATTTTATGAGGGTAACACAACAGAAAAGCTAGGTTTATACCCTTACTTGTATTTTCTGGCAATATCCTATCATGTGAATGATCCACTCCATTGTATCTCACCGGTAAAGGTTTACCAACTAAGGCTTTTGAACACAGTTCGAAGACATTGTTCGTGTGCGTCGAAATCTGAAGAACAAATAAAATATGAGTACTAGGCCAATATACGGTACTATATGGTTGGGTCTTGAGGAATTAAATAAATGTGTATACTCGCCGCGCCCGACGGTCACCACGACCAAGGCAATTAAACAGAAGAACGCACATCTCGGGACATCAAAGGTTATAACTATAATGGCATCGACATTCTAGGCGCACGTGCGTCCCTACACGCTGAACGTCACAAAAACCAAGCAACCAGACCATAAACCGTCAGCGTACGTGACGATTTACCCACGCGCGTGTTAGTTGCCATGATAATCGCGCGTCGTGCGGTGATTACAAAGGCCTAATGATATTTTGCACTAACATTAGATTGAAATATATTCTTCATTTCAACATTAATTTTACCAAAATTTTGGTGAATTGTCGTTCATGAGACTCACTTCGCAGAAAAAATTAATAAATGTTCTGTATATACTCAAATGTTCGTTTTCGGCACCTTATGCCAACATTGTCAAAATGACAGATTAATGTTACATAAGAACATCAAATTTTATAAAATTTGTAAATTTAAATTGTTATAACTTTTCATTTTCTTGGTCAATTTTCACAAATCAAATTGCAGTTTATAGAAGCATTTAACAAGTTCGCGGTCAAAAAAATCTGATGTAACAGACATTGCGAAGTACCCACAACTAATAAAATAAAAACTAACACCATAAAACGAATGGCACGCATAGACTAATTATATTGACGGCTGTACTCGCAACTAGTATCAGATTGTCGATGCCACAGTAAAGATTAAAGGACTGTACGCACGCGCTATGTTCGAGAGCGGAGATGTGCGTCCTTCTGTTGAATTACCTTGCCACGACCCGCGCGCAACGGACCGTTTTAATGACGATTCGTTTACACTATCCTCAGGTTCACACGAGAGCCCTAGTATCCAGATCAAGAGCTAACCGTTAGCGCCCGTGTGAGAACACCAGATCGGTTAGCGCTAACCGTTACCAGGATCCGGATACGCTAGCGGTTAGCAAGCGCTATCGGTTAGCAAGTCGAGCGCGTTTTCCAATTTCCAGTTGTCTATTGGCCAGTGATCCGATCATCATCTTCTTGGTATCCGGATCAGGGTTGTATGAACGCACGGGTGTTTGTAATCCGGATCCGTTAGCTGCCGTGTTAGCCTGGGTTCCAGGCCCTAATTTTAGGTTACTCACTCTTTATTGTACTTAGTGCGCGCCATACCTAATTTAATTGGCGTCCCATACTCGATTTCTTTTTTTTTCGAATTAGCTTATTCCGTCTCTAAATTAACTTTCTCGTTGGTGGCGCTGTCCAGAATGAGAAAAATAATAAAAAATAAGAGACTTGTGGCAAGTCTACTGCTGTGTGTGAACATAGCCACTGCCACCGACAATCAGCAGACTGCGTCGCGTCATATAACACTCACAGGGAGCGGAGTTGGATTCGTCAGCCGACAGTCTTACGACGCAGTGAGTGCACGGCTTAAGTGTTTATTTTGTATGCTATTTAGTTAAAGCCCCATTCCCGGCAAAATTTCACACCCCATAGAGACACATGTAATTTCGTGCAGAAACATGTCAAAAATTCAGAAAAATAGGGAGGCCTTTAAAACAAGACTAAGTTTTGATAATAACGAGCAAAGTGCATCATCAGTAAAAGGGTTTAGTTGTCTGTAGTAAAAGTATGCTCTTCGGTGGTACTCAAACCGACAACCTCTTGCCCATCAAGGCAAGCTTCATACAGCTAGACCACGAAGACCTATTGGTACCCCCTACCCAATACAAGTTGATATAGGCCTATACCGGTACCTCACACAAGGCGTATATTTTAGGTCTCCATAATTAATTAGGAATCGTATAGGATTAACTATATTTGAACCCAAGTATCTTAACAAAATCACATCACGTTGTAGTGACTACAGAGTGACAATAGTATAACATGCCTACAATTATTTATTTTTGAATTGGGAAGTTTGGTTTGAAAATCCCCTCTAATTACTGCGCACTTCTAACGGAATTTGAGTTATTAGTCCCGTTCCCAGTGTATGCCGGTGTAATGAACAATTTATTCTGTCATTTAAATTATGTTTATGTCTAATCCACAATCAAATCACGTTCATCTCCACGACGCCCAAGGGAAATATCATCCTCTGAACGATCCTAAAATATCATTTATATCTTCTGTTCGCATTAAGGCAATCCCTATTTATCCCTGTTAACCATATGGCGACTTGTCACCCTCTTCCTCAAATCGTACGAGTCATGAATCTTCAAAGTCTAACTGTCAGGTAATTAATTCAAGCGCATATGACAATTTGATTATCAATATAATGGTCTAATGGATTCACATGAAGACACGGTGACGATTCATAATCCTTTTTAATGAAGTTTACAAATGCAATTTTCAACGCATTACTACCCACTCGTGTGAACATGTGTTGATTCTAAATGGTAATCATTAATCACAAATGTATAGCATTAGTGAAAGCAACAATATAATTTACCTAGCGACACACACTGATTATTATATTAACAGCGTTACCATATTTATAATAATAATAATCTAGGATGATGATGATGATGATGATGATAAAGATGATGATGCTGATGATAATAATTATAACTACGACGATAAGGATGTTGATGATGAGGATACAGAGGGGGTGCAGATCGCACCCCCACTCCCTAAATTTTATTAAGAAAATAATTGTAGGCATATTGTAGGCATATTGTTGATATGAACATAGGTCTAGTACCGGTAAGATTTTTAAGGTATGAGAGTGCAATTTCCGGGCATCTAGAGCTTACGCACCCTTACTGCCAAATCCTGCATCCGCCCCAGTTGATGATGATGATGAGGATGATGCTGTTGATGTATATACATTATTTTGTTACAACTGTAATGATAATAAATACTCATAATAAGAAAGTTGGCTAAACTGTATTCCAAAATATTACTAGGTCTACTCCTGTAGTTTTTGTCAACGCTTGACATTAAAATGACTATTCCAAAGTAAATATACAATATGTATGATAAGGGATGATAATTTAAACATATTAAAGAACACGAGTATCTCTAGATTAAAGGAGCATTAGATCAATGAAAATACGTATGTTTTAATAATGCGCAATCGTTAGGCCTAAGCTATTGAGAGTAAGTAATTAGGCTTATATTCAAAAGTCAAAATCACTTTTCCTCACCCGCCTTCTTACATTACATTTTACATACATATTACACACATTAATTTTGGGTTACATTACCTAACTACTGCACTTACTCTCTAGACATAACCGTACTGTGTACAGTAAATAATCCATGAAGATAATATTTTTTTATTGTTGAGTTGCGTAACATTACACTATACTAATACTATACCATAATGATTACGTAAAGCTTGATCGCTCCTGCTCGTGTTACAATTTGCATAGCATAATATATTCGAAGAATCGTAGATAGTTTTATTTATATATCAACATATTTGCAGTGGGCCTAGGCATATGTATGTGAGCATGAAATATTCGTTGTATAGTACCCCAGATAGGAGCACTTACTCCTACAACATGTCAATATGCCGTAAGCGTATCAATAAGCGTGAACTTGGCTGGTGATTTTAAACATAATTTTTGAACATTGTGTTAAATAAAATAATACTAGAACACAATCATCTTGTAGTTACATGTCTTCAGTAAGTAGGGCATTATAGCAACAAAGCACAAAAACGTAGGTTTTACTTGCGAGCATTAATGATTAGCAATATTTTTTTTTATTAACAACAAATCTGTTTTTAATAAATTATACGCCGCTTGCAGCTCGTAGTTTTATGAACGTCTAAGCAAATCACAACTCGTTGAATTTATGTGTTAGTTGTTGTTACGGGCAGTGACATATCATGTGCGTATATTAGCTTATAAATATATATTTTGTTTACTTGTGCATCAGCATGCATATAATAGACCTAATAATGGTTTTAAAATATGGAATTATGGTTTCTTGAAGAGGAACACACAAACGAAACACAGTTTTGCATTTAATTATGCAAATTCTTGACAAGTAGACAAAAATGCTGAAATGAGCATTTCATAAAGTCATAAATTATCAGGGAACGTACACTTTTAGAGCGACATTAAACGAATCTATGACTTTTATCTCGTATCAGAAGGGCAATCAGAAAGAAAGGATCATCTCCATTGAACAGAGATTTAATGAGGTACGACAAAGGCAAACATAACAAGTCATAAAACGAGCGGCAATGGATCGGCCAATATTGGTCAGTTTTTCATTGAATTTGTATTACTTGAAACCTGGTCATTTTTTCCTCTCACTCATCAAATCAAATCAATCAAAATTGAACAGCATTTTATTATACATTTTCCAAAGTCATAATAACAATGACTTGAGTTCCCTGTGGGCCATCGGTTTGAACAATTGTTTGTCCATGCTCTCGTGAATCTTAGAAAAATGAGAAGTTGGGGGATAATAACGAGTCCTTTTATCAAATAATATTACAAAAACAAGAAACATGAAACATGTTTTTATTCTATTACATAGAGCACTATAGGTCTGGTTTAAATAACGTTTAAAAACAATTCAAACAAAAATAATCATACCGTACCCCTACAGCGCTTGATTTCTATTTCTACTTTTTGAATTAATTAGCTAAATGTAAATGCAAACCGTGAATAAAAGCCACACCCTCTGCAGCAGGCATCTACTCATTTTGCCGCGATAATATCGCAGTTTGCCGTAGTTTCTTTTTTTCAATAATTTCAATAATAATACTTTCTTATAATATATCTGGATTTTATACTTATTTTATAGTATTATGTTGCTGTGTAAATGATTGAGATGTCATATATATTTTTTAAATACAACCATGAATTTTCCTTTTTGTTTTTAAATATTTTTTTGTGAAACACAAGTAAATTATATATGTATATAAATCATGATATAATATAGATAAATTCTAACAGTAGAGAAAATCCGATCAGAATGACAAAATAAACTAAGCATCCACTGGAAGGAATCCCAATATCTGCAGACGGATCCGTTTCGGCCTTCCAGGCCTCATCAGTGCAGCTAGGGTATAGACCCAAACGACACGTTCGACCAGCTTAGGTAGGCCCAAACTAGTCCCACGCCGAAACGGATCCGTCTGCAGATATTGGGATTCCTTCCAGTGGATGCTTAGTTTATTTTGTCATTCTGATCGGATTTTCTCTACTGTTCCGTTTTAATTTTATATATATATATATATATACATATTAATATATATATATATTAATATATATATATTAATATATGTATATATGTGTGTATATATATGTGTATATATATGCATATGTATGTATACATAGGCTATATATATAATTATATATATAACACTAACTCTACACAGTGTCATTAAAGAAAGACCAGGGATTGGGTTTAAAGATGAATGTAAGCAAGGCTGGTTTAGGAAAATGAGCAACGCAGGTCAAAACTTACCGCATCCCATGTTAAGTTTGCTATCGGTCGAATTAGTGTAAAATGATGATCCAATGGTTCGTCAACCAGATTCGGCAGAACGCTGTTAAGTACATTCCCTGTTATAATAGCAAAAAAAAAAAAAAAACTTCTGGTGGTGAATTTACAAACATAGGCCTACCTATAATGGGCCAAGTGACAATTAAAAGTGAAATAAAGAATACAGAACTGAAAGCAAAACTACAGTACAAGAATTTATTTTTGGCAAACTATATAAAAATCACTACGGAATATATTACAATTATAAAAAAACGGTATATTCGAAAAACAAAAAAACAGTAAGCAAATATAAAATGATGGATAATAATAAGGTTTGGTGCAAAATATGAAGGCTGTCTTGGGGAGGGTATACTAAAGAGAATTGAGAAATGGATATCTAAAGAAAAGAAATTGAAATTGTTATTTTTATACTCCGGGCCGTTGGCCTATGTTTTTGAATAAGTGCCCTAAACATTGTGTCTACTGAAGAAAGATAAACCAGCAACTTTTGCAACCGTTATTGAGTCAGAAATTATCCCATAAGTACGTACTTATGATTAAAATTACCATTTTGAATACCAAACTGCAAAGTTATTATACTGTAACGTAAATTGTTAGCGGAATGCTGTGGGCGAAAATCAACTTTTCTAAAAGTATATTTTTTAAATTGCGAGTGTAGGCTACTTGCTGTTAAATCTTTATTCACTGCATGCTACCAAATACATGACATAGAGTGTTGGTACGACTTGTCAAAGAAAATCCCACAAGAAAACGTGATATTAATGATCAGAGTAAGCACGGTCAAAAATAAACTCCTCTGTAAACACGCGAAAGTTCGCTCCTGTCATACGGTAATAAATTAACAGTGTCCCGTCTTATTTTGCGTTTGAGAGCGGTGTTTTTTTTTCCAATTCGAAATTTGTTGACACCATATTTATAATACTATTAAAGATATGAACAATATTAACATCTTCAGATCAACACTTTACTGACCACCCGTTAACACATTGAGTAGACCTTAATAGCTAGGCCTACTCAAAGTTCAAATGTGATTCTCATGATTTATAATAAATTTCGACATGGGATTGCACTTTCAAACTGGCAATTGGTATTAACACAACGGAATTACTAGGGTCATGTGACACATTTTGTCACTCTACTTAAAATAGTTTTTATTGTTTTTATACTTTGCTGTTTAGGCTACAAATGCAATTTACAATCTTGTAACAATACTCAATGGACTTTACCGAACTCGTATACTAAAAACGAGGGTAGACCCTACGGACCAAATACCTTTGATGCTCTATGACTTAAAAAAATCATGACTTTCAGATATCTTTTGATATTAGGCCTAAACCAAACACAGGTTCCCAGTGGGAGCGTGTGTCTACCGCTTTACATTTTTACACACTTTTTAGTGGACTTTCTAGGACATTTACTTTCTGTGTTGTTTGTCAATTCAATTGATAATTTACTGTAAACTAGGCCAGGTCTTATTTAGCATTGCACCACATTTCGTAGACTTGCTTTTCATTTTTGTGTATGGGGGCAAACACACTATGTTGTCGTTTGGCGGTTAAAAATGGCTTTTAGTACCATGTAATCTTAAGTACCTTATTACTGTAAAAAAATTATAAAAAAATACACCACACACCTCCTGATACCGAATCCCCTGTGGATACTTTATTAGTAAACATAATACAATAAGGAAGTATATGGTATAGACACACGCTCCCGCTGAGAACCTATTTTTATCTTTAGCTCACGACTCATCCCATCATTACCCCATACCGGATTTACTCTTAAAAGTTCAACTCTTGCAAGGTCAATTTCCAGATCATAGCATAGTGTCTACATCCCCGCAAGGGTCAGTAAACTCAAAAACCTTGAAAGAAGGCGAGCACCACCAAACCTGGGCTTTAATCTTCATTCATGATCAGCGTCATTGACAAATCTCTGCGAGTTTACCGTGCGATCATGAGACTTACAAACAATAAAACGAATGTGGAATATGGTCTTATAAAAAGTAATTTGCATGGCTCGAACACCCTCTATATAAATGAGGTACGGTACTATACTAATATCTTACTCGCTTTATAATACTTAAACAGTACTTCTGTGCAATAACGAGGCATTATGATGTAAAAGTTTAGCAATGAACCGTAATAGTTTTCAAATCCTAGTACATAGTAACTTCACCCACGCAACGCCGAATGTGCTGAGAATAAGCAATAATGATCGAAGGAAAACGTGAAGACATGACTGGCCACGTTGCTTTGGCAATTGAAATATGAAAGGGTGATAATTAGTGTACAATAATGTACAACGCATTTAGAATTGAATTATTGCAATAAACATCAATGTGCCAAAGCATAAAGTCACTTTTCTTCACGTTCGAATTGTAATGTTGTGGCGCGTCGGCTCGGGTTCAAAATAGATAAACGACCATCATTCTTTATGCATTATATTTTTCAACAGAATCATTATGTCCGGTTGAAATTGTTTTAAACTACCAGAATATTTTATTAAATATTTTTCTTAGGTTTAATAGACAAAAACAAGTTTTTCCTTTTTTCTTTATTCTCCCACATGTAAAAATAAATGTAAGTCAAAGTACATGTTATGCAACAAAATACAAATGTAATTAAATGCCATCATTGTAACTTTTAAGGAGCCACTCTGCACCTTTTTGGGTGCTGAATAACTCCCCTCCGAGCCAAACAACTTTCAAAAAGAAGTTGTTGTAGACTGGGTGGATGAATGGTAATGGTAATAAAGCGCCTTTTCCAGAGAATACAAAGTGCTGTGGACTAACTGTAACTGGTTTCAAATGACTTTCTTCTCCCATAAGGGTCGTTTCATGTGTGAGCTACCCGGTAAACCGGTACCAGCTACACTCGTCTGTATGGACCAGTACACCAGCATAACCCCCACTTGTCTCGAAAGATGTACTAGGTTCTTTTAAGTGTACACGAGCGAGACTGTGTACACTGGGCATCCGGGTTTATAGTCCTTATCTGAGAAGACATGTTTCACCACCAGAACAACTATAGGCGAGCGTGCCGTTCGAACCAGCGCTAATATTATGGTTGTATTTGCGGGGAGCCCCTGAATTACTCCCCAACTCCCCCAACAAACGGATGGATGTATTTATTTATTTATTTATTCGGTGTAAACACCAATGATAAGAAACGAACGTCTGAAGAATACTTATTTTTAGTGGGAGACAACAAGGATATGAAACGAAAGTCTGAAGACTACTTATTTCCAGTGGGGGAGTTTTGGTGGTGATTGATCAGTACACCTGGAGACAATCCCTATTCTTTTTCGAAGAGTGTACTACGTTTATTTCATCGTGCACATGGGCCACAATGTACACTAGACCAACACCTTAAACGTCTCATCCGAAAGACGGAAGATGATTGCAATCCAATCCCAGAGTTCAATTCGACTGTATAGCGTGACTCTGAGATCATCACTGATCAGTATGTTCCAATTAGATGTTTTTTTAAAGAAAAATATAAAAATCTTATTTGAACACTGGGCTTGTTTGACTGGTTCATTTCGTTGAGTACGACTGTTCGTTGAGCATTATTTCCATTCGACTGGTTCGTAAAATAGACTTCGTTGACAACAAGATTGACGTAACAAGAATGCGTTAATCAGCGTTAAGTTATGCACGTGACCAAAAAAAATATGGCCGATTGGTCAGTTTAGCAACAAAATTTGCGTTTAATTTAGATTAAATTTCAGAAAATAAAAATTATAATATATACCAACATTGAAGTCAAAAAATAATTGTAGCCGGCCTAACAAAATTAAAAAACTGGATAAAAACGGGGTTTTTTTTACGAAAAACCCATACTGCCACAATCAGTAGCAGACTTGATTTCGCAGTGTTTACCGCGGTAACTATGCAGCCATTTTACTTTGTCGAGTATTTACCATTTTTCTATTCGACTGGTCGTTTTCGTTAAGTAGGATTTTACCACTGCGCAGGTGGGCTGGTTTACCAAAGAACGACCAGTCGAATACGGCCATAGTATAGTACGGTTTCATGATTGATGCAGGGAGTTGTTAGTGACTAAGAACTCCCTGGTAGAAATTCAAACCGATCATGCAACTCACCACAGATTAATATAACAAGTCAGTAGAGTTCGCGATTACCCATCTTCTGACAAAATCATGAATGTAAGAACTGAAATGGCACTGAATTGCCATTATTGCATGATGAAAGCTTGCTTAAAATTATATTAATCTATCAAAGAATGCACGTGTATGATTCAGTCAATGTGCTTCACTGGATCGCTTCTAATCTTGCAATACAAGGCCTCACTGATTCCAGCAGAGATCTATATGGGTTGTCATTGGAGCCTGGTTCTCACGAGAGCCCTAGTATTCGGATCGGGAGCTAACCGTTAGCGCTAACCGTTAGCACCTGTGTGAGGACGCCCGGTCGGTTAGCGCTAACCGTTAGCAGTATCCGGATACCGCTAACGGTTAGCAAGCGCTATCGGTTAGCAAGTGAGCACGTTTTTATCATCAACCAATCACGCGTTTACAATTTCCAGTTTCTTATTGGCCAGTGATTCGATCATCAAATTCTTGGTATCCGGATCGGGATCATCTCGTATGGACGCATGGCAGCTAACCCGGATCCTGCTAACCGTTAGCAGCCGTGTGAGAACATAGTCTGTGTCTTTTATTTAACATTTATGGATATCTATAAATGTTGAATAAAATCCCCATTGATACCTTAAGGTGCCAATGGGTTTTTTTATTTAACAATTTGGATATCGGACTTTTGGATATTCATAAATATTTATGGGTATCCAAAAACCCGATATCCAAAAATGTTGAATAAAATACCTCTTGGCACCTAACTTCAGGTGTTAAAACCATTAATGGATATCCATAAATCATTTACGGATATTATGGATATCCATAGTTTAACAAGCTTGAATACTGGGAACATCGATGTAGGCTCACAGATGCGACAAAGCCTTGATTTTGTATACAAACACGATCGCTAGGCCCTTATGAGTCTAACACTCTCAAAGTTCAATTTGAAGATTCTATC